CTGGGCTCCCATTGGTTCCAGGGACTCTGCATCTGGTTGGGGTGAAGGTGACAATTCTTTAACTTTTGGTCACAGCTTTGCTAAGGGCAAAGTAGAGGTCTTGATCCCATCTTCAAAATTGCTCACCTGAGCACTTTTTTATAAGTAGCACCGAGTTAAGGAAACACACATACTGGAGCTCCCTAGTAAGTGGAAGTAATTTTAATAATATGATTAATAAGTCTTATTTACCATCTTCAACTATCACTATTATTCTCTTCTAGTCATCTTTAAAAATTCAATTTCCTGCCCAAGTTTTAGCACTAAAAAGAGCACCCAAAACTTGAAAGTATTTATCCAACACTGTGTGTAGAGTAGGACACAGATATGTCCTCAAATTATTGGATTTTTTTTCTTCCTCTCTGTTTAGCTCCTTGTGATATCATCATTTGAACCATCAGTACATACAATATCTACATACTTATACAAAAATCTATAATACCTATAAACTTACAAGCTTACAAAAACTTACTATTATCATCCTCAGACTGTGAATTTGTGCCATTTCCTCAATTTCTTTAGGCTCATTTGCTTTTAATGAATGTGTTTCTAATTGTCTTTGACAATATCATTCAACTTTGGTCATACCTGGCTACTGACGAATTTGAAAACCTAATGAAAATGTGAAATAGCCCAAGTTTCAGGTCTGCCCTTACTTGTGGCTGCCTGTCTCTGTGAGTTTGCATTCTCCCAAGCATTGGTTAGCAGTTCAAGCACCCTACAAGGAGAGTGACTGCTTTCTACACTTCAGTGGTGAAGCAGGCAAATTTGGACACAGCAGCTGTCTGCTCCTGAAGACAGCTGGAAATAACCACGTTGGATAGGATCAGCTATCAGAGGCAGGGTGGCACTGTTGTGTGTAAACAGCATGCTCCCTCTGAGACTGGAGACAGTGACACAAGCAGCTCCAGGCTCAACCTGCCCCCTAAAATAGCAGTGAAGACACTTTACATCCAGCTTTACCGAGTACAATGAGAATCACAGGATTTAGGACTGAAAAGCCCCTTGGAGATCATTTCACAACCTTGTTGTTTTGCAGATTAAAAAACAGCAACAACAATAAAAACAAAATACTGAGACCAGGGGAGATGTGGAAACATGTAGTCTTCCTAATTGTCACCTAAACATGTGACACATCACATATGCATATGTGACTAAGCCCTTTAGGGATCTATGTAGATCATAGATCCTGTCATGCCACTGTGCTTATGTTAGTGTATGTGTTTCCTTCCAAAGAGCTAACTCTGCACATCAGCAAAATTTCCTAAGATTTAGCCTTAGCTATAAGAATAAATATTTGGGTCTACCCCCAACCCCAAAAACCCTTAGGACAGGTGATATCACCAATTATGTCGTTTACTCCATGCCAGCCTTTGTCTGGGACCAGGAACTGAAGCTATGAAGACAAAAGGCAGAAAGATGTAAAAATGTTTACAGTCTAGTGTCAGAAACATATGTGAGCAAATAATCAAGAGACATTGCAACAAGGGTTGTATGAGGGGTTTATGTAAAGTGCAATATTACATATGAAAAAGGAGTCACATCATAGATGAGAAGAAAGTTCAATAAGGAAGTGCAAAAAAACTATTATTTAAGTCTCTGTTCTGATATTTGGGTCCTGGAGAAGGGAATGAGAAAGATGAAGTGAATTTAAGGGAGGAGGAGGTACAGAGAGAAAATTTCAGGCAAGTAGGAAGAGTGTTTTATTTAATATGAGTCAGCATCTAAAAGTCACCATTTCCTCTCTGATTCTTCTTATCTATTACCTAATGTGTCTGAAATCTAATAAACAAACCATTGTAAGGGTTTCCTTTGGAGCAATATGCATGAACTTCATGATTGCATTTTCATTCATTCTTAGGGAACTTTGTATCTTATTTTTTGTGTATTTGTGTGATTAAGGTTGTCAGAAATATGACCCTGTAAGTGGACAAAAGGCATTATGAGGTAGAGGTGACCAAATAAGGAATGGCTGATGTTAATTTGTGAACTAGAGGGAATGTGGGGAGATTGGAATTTCATAAAAATAATCCAGGGAAGAAAGATTTCCACTATGACCTCAGATTATAAGTAAACAAAGAAACAACATGTTCATGAAAAATAGGAAGGACTAAAGGACAGATTTTCAAAATTCAAGTTTTGAGAAGTCAAAGACATCCAAATTAAGACAATAATATAATATGTCATTGTTTGCCTATAAATTGATGGGCTTTAAACAACAAGAGGGCAAAGGAAAATAGGTACTTTTATTTATTACTGGTGGGAGTAAAAATTGGTAAAATTGGTATGAATTTTCTGAAGATAACTTCTTCTCTCTCTGTATACACACATGCACACATATAAAAACAAACATATATATGTATATACATGCTGATATTATATGTATATATATTTTTAAATAAAATATATATTACATAAATATATATATATATATATGTTGTCAAATTACCTTTAAGTTGTATAAGCCTATAGACCTTCATCCTAAGAAGGTAATATGTATTCATCTAGTGTATGGTTAAAGATGTTCATGGCAGAGTTGTTTATTTAAGAAAAAAAAAAGGAATGAAATCTAATCTAAATATTTGATAATAGGATATACTGCAAATATCTTAAGGCAGGTCTGTATCATGGAATACTAAATAGTTATTAAAAATGTTCTTCTAGCAATCATAAGGATTAAGAAAGTAGAGATAAAGTATTTAGAACAGTTCCTGGAACCTAATAAATGATCATTTAATGTTAACTTTTTCATTATTATTGCGATTCTTGGCATATCTTAAGACAGGGAGATATTCCTATATGTAAAATGAAAAAAAATTTAAGAAGTATGTAAATCATGATACCAGTTTTAAATATGTATATGTATACATGCACATATACATTAATATACACATATACATACATGTTTATACATATGTTTAGCAAAAAATACAGAGAGTGTAGTAGTTTGCTAGAGCTGCTGTAACAAAATACACAGATGGGTGGCTTAAACAGCAAAAGTTTATTGTCTCACAGTTCTGGGGGCTAGAGGTCCAAAATCAAGGTGTCAGCAGAATTGGTTCCTTCTGAGGGCTGTGAGGGAAGGACCTGTTCCAGGCCTTTCTCGGCTTTTCAATCACTACTTCCTCTTTATATCTTCATATCACCTTCCCTCTATGTTTATCTCTGTTCAAACTTTTCCCTATTTATAAGTCACCAGTCATACTGGATTAGGGCCTACCCCAATGACTTCACTTTGACTTGATTATCTCTGCAAAGACTTGATTTAACTTGATTATTTTTATAAAGCCTTATCATCAAATAAGGGCACATTCTGAAATACTGGTGATTAGGGCTTCAAAATTTGAATGGGGTGGGGGCACAATTCAACCTGCAGCAGAGTTCATGTATATCAGAAATTTGGAAATTATAGATGACATTTGTTTTAGTCTTTTTGCTTATTTATCATTTTCTACAGTAGACTATGACCATTAATGAAATTAAAAAAAAATTTTAAACTGCATGCCTCAGAAATCTAGATATCCTATTTAAAATTGAAATGGAAACTTTTAATCCCCCCCATAGTTCTCTTTTTATTTTTAACATCAACCTATATTTCTACTGTTTAAGACTAAGCATAGGATTTTGAAAAGAACACTTAATGTTCCCTATGCAAAGGATAAGTTTGGATACTGAAACTATGGCTATTTAGATTACATGTGCCATAGAGTTCAAGGTTATCATTTTCCTGTGGGGTTTTTGTTTCACTGTAAATTCCTGAATGACACTGATTTAAGGCAAAATCAAATTATGTACCTCCAAAAAGTACTTCACTTTGGAAGGATGTTTACTGCTTTGTCATTTTCAGAGCTTGTCAATCTAAAGTTGATATTGTACATTTTTTCTAAATGGTGCAGCACTATTAATTAGGAATTCAGAGCATTGAAAAGGTTATACAACATGTAAACAGAGGTAAAACATGTTCTATACAATAAATAAGTTTCTGAGTAATCAATCATTCTTACAGAAATCAGAGTATACTTCAATGCAAAAGCATAACTTGTACTTTTGTAAAGAAGGAATTTGTATAGCAACAAAATGATAATTAATTAATATACATCTATTTAAACTTCAGTGCTGAATTGGACTTTTTTGAAACAAGGGTGCCCTTACTTCCAGTCACAAAATTCCTAGAATTAGGATATGCTACCCAAAGATGGAAAGTTTGCATAAGAAAAGTTTTCATTCAAAAATTGTTTTTAAAAAACCTTTTGTTTGAAAGTGTTAGTCATTTGACTTTAAACTTCATAGCTCATTTATGGATAGGGTACACTGTAAAATTTATTCATCATCCACAGTTAATATATATCAGCCACACATTGTGTTAGGTGGTTTGTATGGCTCATACTTTACCAGCCATAAACATTGATTCAGTTTCACAATACAAATAAATTAGATACAAAGCAACACAAAAGAAAATTCCATATTCTTTACAAATATTGCTGGTGATGCCATAGAAATTAAAAAATATACATATTGAAGAAGGTTTGGTGACTAATACTTTGCAGGGTGAGAAAATTATTACTCATTATGTGCTCATTATGTTAAGTAATGTCTTATATCAGCACGTAAATAAGTTTAGTGATTGCTTGGAAGGAAAACTATTCCAAAGAGAAAATTAATGTACTTGATTTGTTTATTTATTCATCTAATTTAGGGCTGAAAGATTTTTGGACTGACACTAGATATGAAAATGTGTCACTAAAATGTATTAGTGCTCAGAGCTAAGGACCTTACCTATAAATATAGATTTAAATAGTTGCATGCTTGGTTAAAGTTTAAATCAGATAAGATATTCAATATATAATTCACTATTGTATGTTAGAAGAGATTCTACCCATCTCTCTGTTTCTGTCAGTTGTAGCTTGGATGGAAAATTAAACGTTAATTTTGTCTTTGTCCTTTTGTCTTTTTCTTACCAGCAGCACCTGGAAGGCATGGCAGTGCTGAAAGTGACCTTCAGTTTACTCCTAACATCTCGATGCAAGTGAGTCAGGCTCTACACTTGTAATTTTCATTATTTAGCCATAAGAAGAAGTTCTTTCTGTAGGAAATACACAACATCCCAAAATACATAAGTATTTTATGCTATCTCATGAGTGAGCACTTGAAGAAGGCTGCAAAGGTAGAAAATCAATAGAGAAGGTGATGTGTGAAGGTGAGAAAATTATAGCCCAAATTGCCACGGCACCTAAGGTGACGTGATTTATCCAAGGTCAGCAGCAGGACCTCTCTTCAGGGGCACAGTTCAAACTTGAACCCAGGGGTCCTGCCTGCTCGTGCAGAATTCCTTCCTTGCGTCCATCCCATCTGTGTCTATGAAAAAGCAAAGGAGCTTCCCTTCTCAAATGGGGTAAAATACCTGGTTTAGACACTGCACGTCTACATGTCAGCATGTCATGTTGATTCTTTACCTCTGCCCTGTTCATTTTTGTCTCAGCTGAGGTCAGAAGGCAGTGGCCTGTAAGGACTCCAAGTGGCTCCATGTCAACTTTCCCTGTGAATTATTTTTATGAGCATACCAACTGAGGGTTTATCTAAAGCACATCATCGCTTTTGGCATCTAACCAACATTTCTTCCCGACCGCCCCCCACCCCCCACCCTTCATTTTACAGATAAAAAACATATTTTCTGGTCATTCTTCTCAGACTGGGTTCTTGAAAATTCTGTAGTGTATGATGTTAATATATGAACTATTAAAGAAAAAATAAAAATAGCCCGATGAAAGTTGGCATCGGGGACTTCAGACTCCTGAAATCTATTCCCATTTTTCAGGTATATGGGACATTTGGCTCCAGGTTATTCCTGTATTACTTTTCATTCCTCAGTAAAAAGCTGATTTTATAAGAATGTCTTGGTTAAAAGTTGCTACATTGAAAATGTTAGAGCTACAAGTGTCTAGCATGCATGGCTGAATAGATAGGTAAGGCTGCTAATGACTTTGTTGAGTGTTTGATGAAAGGTGCTATGTAAGGATCTTAACTGGGATTTACTGAGTAACCACTATGTGTTCGGTAAACACAGTGCAGGACGTCTCAATTCAGCAAAGGCCACAGAGCTGCAGTCTGTGCCCTTGGGAGTCTTCTCTATAAACATGCCAGAGCAGAGATAGTGACCTCATGCTTCCCAGGCAACATCTTCACTGGGTTGTCCTGAAGTCACCTCAAACTCAACACGTCCAAAATAGAACACTGTCCTCACACATTTGTGGGGTCACATAATGCTTCCATTTGCTAGGACTAGAAATTGCATCTTCATGCCAATGAACAATTGGTTTGGGGTCTGTACTCTCTCTTATATCTGTAACTTCCATTTCTCTCACAATGTTACCTGGGTGCAGGCTGGCACTATCCTAACCTTTGTAATGGCCTCACACATGGCACAGGCAGACTCCCCCTTACCAGCCCTCCTGCTCTGTTATTAAAGGGGCAGCTTCCTAAGACATGCTCATGTGTTAACCACCTTCCCCCAAGACTTTTGCTGTCTCCTTGCTGTCTACAGTATAAATGCCAAAATTCTCAGCCTTGGAGGTAAGGTCCTTCCATAATTTGGGCCCAGCAAGCCTTTTTTTTCCAGGCTGATTTGTAGATCATTAATGAAATAAAGTGATTTCCTCCCAATATACTCTATGTTCTTTAGCTTACAGGTCTTTTCTCATACTATCCCCCAAGAGAATTCTCCTCCTGTTTGAATCACCTTGTAAGATCCTACTAAATTTTTGATACAGAGCAAGTGTCAATATTTGGGTCACTTTGGACCAACCCAAAATAGAATCCTAGCAGGTGTCCCCCATTCACATATATAATCAAATCATGAAACATGTAAAGATAGAAGAATATGATATGGGAAGGGTTGGCTGGCTATAAACAGGCAAGACTATCTTACTATGACATACTCTGAAGAGAGAATCAAGCCATAAGCATGGCCCATGTATCAGTTATATTACAAAGAAGCCACAAAAAATATGTATTACTACAACCAGGGATGAGAGTTAAGGGGGATGGGAGGATGGGGTGTAGATGATGAATTCCAGGTCTCCAGTGGTAATCTTTGTTTTACAATTTATCTAAGTGGGAGTTAAAAATTGTTTGATTTTAGGACTCAGAACTCAAACTGTTGTGTAGGAAAATCAGACTTAGAGAGTAAGTCAAACTTTCCATTTTCTTATATGTCATGTTATTTCTTCCAAATACATCTATCAAAGCACATTTTAAGGGAGGGGTGGGGAATGTCAGAAATCTATCCTCTGCCTGACTGAAGAAATTGTTCAAACAAAGTGTGTTCTTTCATAAGCACAGCTTCCTAATGTAGCTAGGGGCAGGAAGGGCTTAGGTTGTTGGTTATGCAATCCCTAGTTCCTCAAACTGCAGTTTTGATTTGAACACACAGTTTCAATTAGTTACTTCAGTTGTTGCCTCTAGATACATTTCATTTTTAAATCAAGAGAGGCTTAGACAATCCTGGCATTTTAGAGCCACTCCTAATTTTGCAAATGACACAACTGACCCCTGGGATGGAACTTTGCCACAACCACAGCCCTCAGCCCAGTGCCCTTTCCATAACACTGCTAGTAGGTTGAATTGTGTTCCCCCAAAATACGTGTTGAAGTCCTAACCCCTAGTATCTGTGAATGTGACCTTATTTGTAAATAGAGTCTTTGCAGACATGATTAAGATGTAAGTTAAGGGGAGGTCATAGTGGAGTAGGGGGGGCCTCTTAATCCATAATGGCTGGTGCCCTTAGAAGAGAAGAAGGTGGAGATGGACACACAGGAGAACACCAGGTGGCCACAGGGGCAGCCTTAGAGTCCCCAAGGATTGATGGCACCCCTCAGAAGCTAGGAAGAGGCAAGGAAGGATTCTGTCCAGAGTTCAGAGGAAGCAAGTCCCTCTTAGAACTTGATTTGGGGCTTCTAGTCTCCAGAACCAGGAAAGAAGAAATGTCTGTTGATTTAAACCACCTGATCTGTGGTAGTTTGTAACAGCAGACTATGGAAACTAAAAACCACGTTCTGTCTTTTGATTGCTCATCTTTATTTGTATCATGTTCTCTTGGGGAAATCTCAAAACAAAGTGACTTGGGTAATGTCTGGGTGCCAGACACTGCCTTTACACTTGGTGAAATCATCAAAGCCCCACCCCACATGCTGGTCCTGATGTTCGTCTCCTTTGACCTTTGGGGCCATTATCATTCACAATGTCACATCAAATCTTAATGCCTGCCAGTATGTTTAAACTAATGAACAGCATATTTTGGTTCTTGCATGTGTCCCCAAGCTGCAGTATAGTAGCACATGCTGGGTCTACATCTCCAGCTCCCTGTGACTATAACAACATGAGAATATTTGAAAGTATAGTATTTCTAACATTCTTTAATAGTAATTATGTACCCAGGACTCTACAGATGCTTTACATGTTATTTCATTCAATTCTCACAGAAAGCCTCTGAAACAGGTGCTGCCATTACTTATGTCTATTTTATAGGTCACAGAAACTGAGGCACAGAGAAGTTAAACACCTTTTCCAGAATCACATGGCAGGAAAATGATGAAGCTGGGAATTCAAGCTATATCTGACAGACTCCAGAAGTCCATGGATTTCCCTCTATACTGTAGTGTAAGCAACCACCTTAATTGTTTAACTTAGGAATTCACCTTGGAAACCCCCCAAATAACCTCCCCCCTAAACAATTCCCTTCAAAATTTAGCTGCATACTCTTTTCTAGCCTCATCTCTGGTTATCATCCCCCACTACACACACACACTCACTAGCCATAGAAGGGTTTTCACATTCCTGGAACACACAGGCTCTTTGATCCGTCTCTGTTTTCTACATTCTTCCCAGAAGCCCATCCCTGTGCACTATGCACATTAGGAACATCACCCCACCTGTCACAACCCAGAGGAAGCATCACCTTCTCTGAGTCCCAAACTCCCATAGGTAGTGGCTTCCTTCCCGTAGCACTTACTCAAGCCTGTACTCTGACGCTGGGCTGGGATTAGGGTAAGGCTTGTGAGTCATCCAGGCACAACAGTTGAGGAGACACTCACTCTTGTAATTGAAGGGTAGAGTAATCACTGAGTTATTAATTTGCATTGGTTCCCTGAACATGCTATCTCCTAGAGCAGATTCTCCTGGGCTGGGGGTAGAGAAAATACAGAAGAGGGAGAGAGAGGAGATTATCCTCCCCAAACAAGGAAAAGAGTGGAGTTGGGTGGGTCCCGTAGGCAGCAGGACCCGGGCAGGCCCTGGCTCATGGCAGAACCATACAAGAATAGCTACCTAGATATCTAGGAAGCCAGTCTTAGGCATCAGGCTCACAGTTCCTCAATGATGATGCAGTAGCCCACATGTGTCATGGAAGTAGTAGACTTTCCAGACTACCAGTAACTAGTCAGGGTTGGACCACAGACATCCAGGAATAGCCTGTGTGGACCCAAGATTGCAGGGCATCTCTTCACATGCTCTAGGCTATGAGAAATCTACAGGACCTTTGCGTGACACAGGGGTAAACAGGAAGGAATCATCAGTAATGACTGAGACTGAACCCCAGATGCCTTACGTGATAAGAGCTCAGAGTAGCATTATCTCCTTTAAAAAAAAAATAGACACATGACGTTTTTTGCACATATATTTTGTGAACCATGATTCATACCTGAAACATTTGTTTCCATGTCTGTCTCCATCACAAGGCCATGAGCTTTTCCAGGGTAAAAACTGATATCTTTTTTCCTTTGCATTTTCAGACCTTGCACTGTGTCTATTGAAAGCAGGCCTTAAAGAAATGCCAGCTAAATGGATGAATGAATAAATGAATGAATGAAGCGAGCAGTTAATCAGTCTCTAAGGGCTCTTCATACCCTTAGATTGCAGGAAGGAAATGAAAAATACCAGATTCTTCTATTCAATCTTTACTTGAGAATGGAGCTGAAGTTCAGCCCTCCCCACCAAAAAAACCCAAAAATGAACCCAAAGGTAGGAGGAGGG